CTCTGCTGTGGTTAAGGAACTCAAAGAGGAGCTAAAAGAGGTGATGAGGAAGATCAATGCAGCACCAGTGAGAGTCACAGAGCCCAGTATCCCCCAGCTAGGGAGAGAGTGTACACCCCAAGAGCTGACCTGTGGTTCTTCCTGTGTGACCATGGGGAACACATGAGAAAGTGAGATGGGAAACCCACTTCTGTCCTGACAGCATGGGTGCATCAACTCAGGGAGGGAAACACTAACAGAGGGAACTCCACTAAACTGAAGGTAGCCTCAGCCTCCCATGACCAAGCTGCAGGGTATTACAAGAAGGGAGGATGATCTGTTGGACCCCCTTGAAGGAACCTCTAGTATATATGCCCAGGAAGAAAATAATAACCAGGGCTAGAGGGGCCCTAACTCTAGACAGGGAGGGGCATGGGAAAACTGTGTCTTTTGGATGGTGTGGATCTGATGGCCTGGCACATCAGAGCCACAGAAATATAGAGCGTTAGTTGATTCTGGTTCACAGTGTACCCTAATGCCATCAGGACATGTAGGGGCAGAACCTGTTTCCATTGCTGGCGTGACAGGAGAATCACGCAGAGCTCCTTAACTTCAAAATTATAATAATTTGGAAGGAGAAGGTTTACATTTTCCATTTAAAGAATGACTCCTGGCTTCCTTAACGGACACCTGTCTTTCTGGGGTGACTTTATGATGTTGAATTGTATCCCCATTCATCTGTTTAGCCCAGAAATAAGTTTTGTACCTTTAGGCTGGATTTGAGAGTGAAGGGGGGGAAGAAGAAGCGGTGGAATGTCTGAGGTGGTTGTTTTCAAAACACAGAGATAGGAGTTTCATCAGTTTGTCTCCTGACTGTGTCACTGTGGTGGACAGCTGAGAGAGCTCTCCTTTGCTTTTAGTTAGTTTTTGACTAACTGAAGCAGAGAAGTTCCCCAGAGAGTTTTGCTCTTTCTTTTTTTTTCCTGGAATTATTTGAACCTGCTCTGGACTGGGGACCCGGGGGAGCACCAGGAGCTTGTACCTGCGGCCCACCAGGGCCTGGCCTGGGCAGTGGCATTTTCCAGCACTGGAGGGACTGACACCAGACTGAGCCGAGCTACCACCCATAGGAGAGAGACTTTCTGAATTTGTCATTGCTTTAGAGCAGTCAGAGGTTTTGGGTTTTGGTATTATTAATTTTTTGTGCTGGGCAGTTGAATAAACAGGTTTTTTACATTTCTCTCCGAGGAAATTTTTTCCTGAACTGGTTGGGGGAGGCGCCGCTTGAGTTTGCTTCCTCGGGGGGACCTTTGGAGATTCTCCCCCAAATTTGCTCTAAAGCAGGACACAAGACATGCAGCAATACAGACTTTGGTGTGTCTCCTGCAGCTTCCAATTGATCCTCACCTAGAAGGCACTCAGTGAAAAGCTTGGAGCTGCTCCTTATCTTTTTTGGGCAAAGTGAGAGAGAGAATAGTGATATGGGTAGTTTTTACAGCAAGTCTCTCAGTCTTCCTGTTGGCCGTGGGACCCAGCCTGTGTGACCTGCTTGTCCCTCTCTCATCTGAAGGGTTTGTGGTGGTGGTCAGGCAATCCCTCTGGAAGGGGTGGGCAATGACATCTCCTTCACTGCAGCTGAAAGGCACTGAAGAGCAGCTCCCTGGTGATGAACACTATTAGTATTGATTTGCTGTTTGTGTGTCCTGAATAGAGTTTCTTCCATGATCTGTTCCAGGTTCCATGAAATGATGGAAAGGCACCAAGAAGTCATGTAAAGCAGTCCACAGATTTATAGTCTGTTCCAGGAGAATTAACTGCTTCTATTCAATCTGTGTTACCTGCAGGGTTTTAGCTGTTTGGGGCTTGCTGATTTTGGGCTCTTTGCATTAGAAGAACTCCAGCTCCCTTCTGTGCAGCTAGATGATCGCAGTCATTTGTAATTTCTTGTTTCATGCTGGAGAAAGTTAAGAGATAGAAGGTTGTTCTGTTCAGGAGAGCAAGTTGTTAAAAACTTGTAGCCTTTGTGAAAGAACGTGTGTTCAAGTTGGCACATCCCATACAATTTCTGGTCATTCTTGAGTTACTTTTTTCAAGATGCTCTTTACAGGTTTGTAAAAAAATTTTGTACTTGTCAAAACACTAATATCCCAAGAGTGGAATCAAATGAGAGCTGGCTTGAGGCCATTTCTCCCAAGAGGGAAGTTGTCTAAGTTCCAAAAGTCAAGGGAAAGAAAATAAAAGGCGTGAGTCCCATTAATATTTAAAAACTATCTAAGCACAGTTACTGATAACTCTTCCAATGAGTCACTTATTGTAACGTAACAAACACAAGCAGCACTCTGAACCTAATAATGCTGCTTAGTTAAAAAATAGTTCTTCATGTTTTCATAGTGACTGTCTCCCAAAGTACAGCAGAACATCTTGGAGAAATTCAAACTCCAGAGCAGCCAGGTTCTGGCATCTCTGCTCCATCATGACCTGTCTTTTCAGAAGCAACTGGATGCCTGACTTGGAAACTGTAGGGCCTTCACTTGATTAAAGTAATTCTGCTACAGCCAAATTTATTACTTGATACCATCCTACAAAAAACATGCTTTTGGTATGAAACCATATTGCTAGTCTAGTTGAGGTGACTTAAACCTGGATTTAGCAATGTTTACAAATTCTGTAAGATTAATTTGCAATTCTGGTGTTACACTGGCAGTCTTGTTGGGGGGGAATGTCTGCTGGCTTCATATGGTGTGTTCCTCTGTGAGGAAATCGTATTGCGTGGGTCATTTTTAGGAGGTGTGTTAAATGAGCATTTCTTTCCACTAAACAAAAGGAATGTCATCATTGGAAATTACAGCAGTCCTCCTTATCCTAAGGCAAGATCTAGGATATGCTGCCAGTCTTTCTCACGCTTTTAGGTATGATTGTTTAGCCAGTCTTGGAAAGAATAAGGAATTCGTAGTTATGTGTGCTCAGTTTCTAGCTTTATCAGGCTGGCAGATCAAGTTCTGTAGAGATGGTTGGGTGGAGTTTAATGGTACTTTTGTCTTTTTGGTGTTTACATACTCATTTGAAAATTAGCAATGAAGTTCAGAACTGAAGGGCAAGTTGGAAGAAAGAATTTGATCAGCATGTAAAAGACTGTTACTTCTAAAAGTTTACCAGAAGAGATGGTGGTAGTGAATATTTTAAGGTTGTTGGACATGTACCACATTTTGAAATGTGTTACTCAGGGACTATAGGAGTTGTTTTGTTTCTGAAACACTATTTTGTAAAGCGTGTTTTAATGGGTGAAATATAGGAAATTATTTTGATCACAATATTACTTTTATTTGAAAAATAATGAATACTGGCATTGGAGCATAGTATCTAACTCTGGCTAGTATGACCTTCAAGTAAGCAAAGGGCCTGGAGTCATTTCATGCTATCCAGTCCTCAGATATGTCTTTAGGACATAAGAGGCAGTGATAAATTCATCTTTCAGAGTTAAGAGAACAAATGCTTCATCTTGTCTTTGGGGTTGGATTCTTTTTGCTTTGCTATCCCTTGCCGCAATTACAACTTCATGCTTTGTTACATGAAAAGATTGATTTTGGAGCAAAAAAAAAAAAATTCTGGAGATTTTTCTTCAGAAGCAAACTATTGCTACATCTTGCAAATAAATGTCTGGTTAGTTTACAGTGCAACTTAATGAGCAGTTTCTAGTTTAGGAGGTGGCTTGACTTAATGCCTGCCTGTGGGGTAGGCAGCAGAAATATGCTGTATGTTCTTCTCTTAAGATACTACTGTTTTAGCCGTGAGGTAATCAGACCAAAAAGTCAAGTATAGCAAGGAGTGATACTTTGTTTGAGCAACCATTTTGACTGGGGGGTGTGAGGCGCTGGGTCAGGCATGTGGGTGCGCACTGCTTCAGGTCCTGCCTTAAAGCTTGCGTGTTTTTCTCCCTTTTCTATTTCAGTTCATTAGGCAAAAGATTTAAAGGAATTATTGGAGCACTGGGAGTGTCAAAAAGGCCATACTTTGCTAGCTCAGACTAGTTTTTGGTCTCCCTGAGTGTCTGAACAAATAGAGAAAATACCATAGCATATGTAGAGTGGCATTGACCTGGGTGTATTCTTTCAGTTTCAAATGGTTGGTTGTTCATTAACTTTAGAGCTGTCGATAGATCTGTTTTTGCATCTATATTTCTGGCCTTTAAAACATTTTGTGGTAATTAATAGCTGTAGTCATAGGTATGTGGTCCAAACTTCAGTTTTAACCCGATATTTTCTTTCTGCTTTAAACATTTGTGTTTGCTAAATAATGAACTATCATTTAATTCCTATTCACCAGTTGCATTACTGGTGAATTTGTATATACTTACATCACTTCTTTTCGAAGATCCTAGAGATATTTTTGCATTCTATCATAGCTTTTATGAGAAAGGTTACCAGGAGCTACTTTCAGAAGCCAGGAGCAGCACTTTGTCATAGTGCATCCATTGTATATTTAGTGTGTTTATAGTTAGTAGATTATTAACAGGTGAAGTACAATAAAGAAAAAAGTGTCTTTTGTATCTGATTTGATTTGGATGGAGTATGTGATGGCCTAGCAGTTAAGATGTGATGGAATTAAAGTTTACAAGAAGTCTGCAACCATGTAAATATTTTGATGTATATGAACTTCAGGATATAGCTTGATGCAAAAACATTTTCCTTTATAAACTGTATTTTTAAAGCAGTTTCTCTTCTCTATCATCTATGGCACTCAACACATACTAATATGTTTTACATTGCTGCAGCTTCCTTATGAGTTTATTAGCATTTAACAGCAAGCTAAATAGACAGCATTACAAAATGGAGAGAAAAATGGAACAATGATCAAATATTTGAATCTTTATGAAGAAAATATACTGCGTTTTAAGATCAGCAACTAGAGAAAAAATGGTTGCTTGCCTCAAAATTGATATTAAAGGTTTACCTTTGAAGTAAAACATCCTAAAATATACTTCACTCTAACTTTGAAGCTTCTAGTACTACACTTGTTAAAAAAACCCTTCATGTTGCAATTTGTAATCAGACTAGTAAATGATATAATTTTTACAGCTTCGAGGAACTCATAAACACGTGAGAGAAGATGACAAGATCTAGATCAAGATCACCACGATGGAAACCAAGGTAAATATCTTTAGCTTGTGTTCTGAAATGTAGCTCTATATAAGGGTTTATAATTAGTACCTAAAACTTGCATTAAAGAAAGAAAATTGCATGCAGAATTGAAATTTGTGTCTTGTAATCTGTAGTTTATTGCACAAGCTGAACAACTGTAATTTTCTTCCCAACTCATGATTTTATTACAATTTCTCTTAAACTGGAATTGTTCAGTTTTTGCAGTCTGCCAAGAGCCTTGTTCACCTTTTGTATTCTGGAATTTAGAACTACCTTAAGCAAAAAATCCAAGCTCCAAACTAGTTAAGGTTATTTTTACTCATGCACCACCTTGTGCACTGAATGTCTGTAACTCACTTTTGTTTTGCTTCTTGGCATATAGGGAAGAACTGTTAAAAAAACAGTTGTTTTAGTTTGCTTTTGGGTTTGTTTTTTTTGTTTTTTTTGTTTTTTTTTTAAAAAGCTTCCTAGTTCAAATACCTCGGACTTTCTGAGGTTTGGGGCTGATTTGTAAACTGATCTTCAGCACAGTTAGACATGCCTTGCAGCATAACACACAGTGAAAACATGTGGAAATGTGGGAGTCGTTGCCCTTCTCCTTGGACATTAGCCTAGCAACACGTGTCTTTGACATTTGTCACCAGGATAACATCCAGCTTACTGCATGCTGTGAGTTACCTGCCTCATTTTTAAGACTTGCAGTGTAAATTTGAGGTGCTAAAACCAGGAGGGTGGAATACAATATCAAGTGAAATTACTGCTGGTTTTGGGCATCTCTTTGAAACAGGCTAAGCTGTGATAACCAAGACCAAGGGAGTTTGGATAACTCAGAAAAATGTGTGGGTTTTTTTATTTGCTTCTTTTGTTGTTAAAAAGAGAAATCCTAACTATGTCCATGCTAGGCTGATAGCTGTGAATGTCATTTGAGTAAGAGCAGCCCCAGCTCTCATTAAAATGCAAACCCTAACCAGACCAACATGGGATGGCAGCCGCAGTGTAGGTGCTGTTGGAAGTCAGCCACTAAAATCTGTGGTCCTGAGTTTGAACTCATTGGCAGAAGTGAGTAAATAGTTTTGCCAAGCCGCTCATTTGCAATACGTGCACAAAGGAAGTGGCTTATTTCAGCTTGTTTTTTGTTGGAATTGTAACGGGGTTGTATCTTCAAAAGAGCAGAGCAGTTGTTAGTTGCTGTAAAGTTGTTTATTGTAAAGACACATCAGTCTCAAGTGGCAAAGAGTCCCAAGTGTTAAAAGTCTGTGCCAGAAGCTTTCGGCATAGAGTCGCTATTAGAAGTTGCAGCCTAATGCAGAGTCCTGAGCAGAGGCAGAGGCTGTGGCCCGGTGCAGAGTCTCGAGAGGCAGATGCTCCCTGGTCTTTCTTCTTCTGTTCTTTTCTTCTTCTTCCTCTTCTTCTTTGATAGTAGTGATGATGATGATGGTGGAGGAAGAGAGAGAGAGAGCGAGAGAGGAGAGGGTCTCTCCTCAATGCACAGGTTCTTATTCATAAATTACCCAATGAACTAAAAACACAAATCTGACGCATTTCTTCTAAACCTACTAGAATTCTGGTTCTATAATACAAAAGTTTATGTATAATTTACTCATATAGCCTATCTGTTCTGTCTGAAGAATGTAAGCAATATTCTTACTGTATTTTTATTATGTCCAGAACTATGTTTTTGAGCTCTCACTGCAGCTTAGTTTTGAAACTTGTTTTTTACACCAGATTCTAAGGCTTTTGCTCTTTAAGGCACTTAAAACTTTTTCTTACTTACTTAAACTTACTTGCTTACTTGCTTAAAACTCAAGCTTATGCCTCTATTTAATGTATGAGTGGCTTAATGTACTTTAATTTCTCTAAAAACTTTAATTCTATTCCTGCATACTGATCTCTCTCTGAGAGACTCAGAGAAGCCTCTGTTTTTCACACTCCACCAGTTTTTTTATGTTTTTTATTAAAGAGTGTGTCAAGAGTGTGCAGTGAATACTTGAATACAAACAGAACTGTTATGATTTGGATTACTTTCTGGTTCTTGTTAGTGGTCTGTGGTGTTTTTCCTTTATTTTAAGGAAATTTTGCCTAAAAATTAATAGCAGGTTGCCCTTGTTTTTGTAACTGTAGGTGAAAATGCAGAGCTGAGTGATGCAATTGAATCTTTAATTGCAAAAGGTGCAGTAAGTGTGGAACTGTGTGTGTATACATGTGTGAACATGTGCATACAATTATCCAAAAGGCTAAAGCATCTTTCTCAAACTTGTTTTTTTTCTGCGGGAAAAAGCCTTACCTGTATGACAACTTAAATATGTTTTGTAATGTTTCAGTCTTTCAGTTTTGAAGGTTTGTTTGGCATGCAAAGAAAACCTGAAAAGGCATTTTCCTCCCCTTTAAATTTTTTTCTACACTTTTTTCCTTCTCTTTTTTCTCTTTGCACTGAAAAAGAAAGACAGGGAATGCTTGAGAAGTGTAAAAATATGTATAACAGTTGTTCTCAATGTAGTGGAAACTTCATGTATATGAAATTATTTTTAGTTTTAAATAAAAAACTTCAAAGAGACAAAAATGATTGACTTACTAAAATTTCAAGTGGGTATTTTTACTATGAAAACTTTCAACAGAGTAAAAGTAAGCCTGGTACTCAGCCAGAAAAATGCCACTTTGATATCTTGGTGTTAATTTTTTTTTACAAGCTGATTAAAATGATGTACTAAACTCTGCTTCCTTGGGAAATACATGTTCTCATTAAGAAATTGATTCAATTTTATGTAACTACTCAAAGTAAATTTTATTTTTGCTTTAGGTCCTTATCTCCAACTTTTAGAACTCCCGAGCATCATAGGCAAAGGCATGCTCACATTAATTATGACTGTGAATATAAAAGCTTTCGTAAGGACCCCAAAAAGTCTATGCCTTGGAGAACAGAAGATGAAAAGTATGGACAAAGCAATTCCAGGTTTGCACCTCATGGAAATAACCACCAGAGAATATATGAACGTAGGTCACCTTCACCAAACCTGAAAAGAATTCCCATGGAAGATGGCTACAGTCATAAGCCCTACAGAACACATTCATCTGAAAGGACTGAAAGCAATAGGAGATGCCAGTTACCACCAAAATACTCGGAAATGCCTTATAAAGAGCATGATCGTCCGTTTTACCAGCACAAAATGGAGGACAGATACATGTTTGATCATTACAAAGTCACTGGAAATGAAAAAGGAATGAAACCTTTTCATAGATCGTTAGGGGGTTCATGCAAACTTGAAAGAAAATGGCACGAAGATGACTTGAGGCACCAGAGGTTACATGAAGAGAAGTATGGTCAGTCACCCAGAAGAGTTTCTGATGAATTTACGGCAAGGAGCTCTTTACAGAAGAGGTATAGGAATAAAATAATTAAACCCTGGGTATTGTGGTGTAAAGCCTCAAGTGAAAGTCTATTTTCATTATAGTTGAAGATATCCACCTTGAAACACGTTGGCCACTTTGTAGTTTTAATTATGGGCGACTGGTAGTAGTGAAGTATTTGTCTTTTAAGTAAATCGTATTGCTGGCTAGAGTATGAAAGGATAATATTTCCCTCTTAAGAGCCCCTGCACATCTGTACCTTGGCGTGAGGGATTTTGGGTTAACTTGCCACGCATTCTGCTGTCCAACATTCTGCACATATAAGTTCTCGCTTTCTTCTCTAGTGCAAGTGTAAATTGCTTTATGTCAACACAGGTATCCTGAAGATCACGATTACAGAGAATATGGGCACGCGTCTAAAAGGGCTAAGGAAATGGAGAGGTATGACGGTGGAGATGTAGCACGAAATTCCAAGTGGAAGCAAGAGCGTTCTTTTCCACCCTGCCAAGAAAAGGAGGAGCAAAGATACCCGGGTGCGCAGTCCCACCGGTCGGCTGAGAGGGAGTACTTGGGGGGGTGTGTCCCAAAGATAGCCTATGAGTACAGTCACAAACGGCGCAGGCATCTGGAGGGGGAGAAGCCTTTTGCAGACGACAGAGCTCAGAAGTACATGAAGCAGGAAGAGCAGAAGTACAGCTCTTCCAAGAGTGCCCGGAATAGCAAGGACTTGGATTACTTTAGTGGTGGCAGAGTGAGGCGGACGGAAGAACGGCACGTTGAAGAACCTGTTAAATACAGTTCAAAGAAGGGCTGCAATGCTTGTGTTAACTCTTCCAAAGCAGATGTTGAGCTGAGATCTTTTAAAAACAAACTGAATGAAAGAGTGAGGAAAGATGGGGAATTGAGGAAAAACGTAGATTCCTCCAATAGCCAGCGTGATGCAAGTCATACTGTTTCAGATGTGAAAATGTCAGATGCCAACTGTATGAGAGAACATCTCACAGTCAAAGTGGATATGAAGAAAATGGTGACCAAGTACAGGTATTGGTTTTCTTTCACCTCTGCTTTCTTCCTGTCTCTTTACAGTTTATGAATATTGGAGAGAAGCATGGTTTCTTTAGGAGCTAACGGGGACAAACTATAATTGTACCTTTTTAGTTTTATTTCTTTTAAAATTGTAACTTTCCTGTCTGGGCAAGTTAACTATTAAACCTCTATTCAAATAAACAAAACCAGCTGACCAACAAATAGAACCAACCAACAAAAAGCAACATTTTATGGGGATGCAGGAAGTGGAAAGAGTAGATAGATATGCCTGATGCAAACCTGTAGTTAGAAGTTGGTTATAAGTAAATGTGTTATTTTTATTTAAAAACAAAACCCAGATGCAGAAAAGCCTAGTCCTGTGCTTTCATCTGAAATATAATGGCATTTTTTAAAACGGTCTTCCCATCTTTCTTCAAAAAATAAGCTAACCTTTAAATACATAAATCTCAAGCACATATTCAGATGTTCAAGATCTCAAGTTGAGTAAAACTGCCAAAAATGAGAGATCTCTGGGTTGTCGTTTATTGTTATAGCAAAGTGGCAACCTGTTGAGGCATCAGAGCTGAAGCAGCAGAGTCTGCTTACAAATGTCTTCTGTGTAATACTTGTGTTTGCATTTAGCATTCCCAGTGCTGGCTGTAATGGAAGAAAAAGTGGCAGTACTGTAAAAATTTAGATGACAAATATGTCGTAAGAGAGCAAGCAGCTTGATTTTGATAGATTCTTGCAGGGTTTTCTGGTTTGTCTTGCTTTCTTGCTTTTGCAGGCCAGAATATCTTATATTGGTAGTAATTGCTTTTGGAAGATATTATCTTCCTTTCCAAAATGATCAGCCTTCATTTTAAAGGTATTCTGCCTCTTATCCCAAAGAAAACATGTATATAAATTTTCCTCTCTTTACACTATTTCAAAAATATGTAGTTAAATGGAGAGTTACAAAGACAAATTACTGCATGTAAGGGGCTAGTATTAAAGACTGAGGAAAGGGAGGTGGAGCAATGCCCATTAGCCACAACGGGGCTAGGATGAGGGTTTGACTTCCTGAATGATAATGTAAGGAAAATTGTTGGGTCTTGTTACAAACCCTTAGGATGATTCCTCTATCTTGCTGCTGCCTCTTGCTGCTGTATTTGAAGGTCATGCACAATGGACCTGGTAGTTGTTTGCAGACCAAAGAAACTACTGCATTGATTACAGCTAATTTAATGTGTGGATGATTTGCTTCTGCAGCCAAAAGTGTTACATATTTTATTTTTTCAAAGATAAGAACACTAGTTTTACAGAAGCTGATGACTTGGAATATTCATGCTGCTCACTTTAGGCATTTAAGAAACACCTGACTTGAAATGACTCAGCTAAGAAGAATAGTTCTTTATAAACCTGGGGAGCAGGTAGATAATTCAAATATCTAAGCCTGAGGTTGCTTGGATTCCTCCTTGCATGCATTTATTCCCGGTTAGGGGAAAATAGATGATTTCTGGCATCTGCTAGAGGCTATTTCTGATACAATTTTTGTATGGAATTCTAGTCTTGTATGCTTCTAATACAGTGTGGCCAGGCACATAATAGCTTTGCAGAATGAGCAATTGGAAGTCTTCTTCCTAAAAGCTTTCTCATGAGCTCTTAGAGTCCTTAATTTGTCTTTTGGAATGACAAGCATCTTCTTTGCAGCAAGAACAGTAGGGTTGTTGAAGTGTCGGCTTTCTTGTCAAAATAATTTTTGAGCAGCAGTGCAACCATTTGGGGTGTAAACTTATTTAGAATGAGTAAAAATTTACAAAAGGATGGTAAGCACGTTCTTGACTTCACACACTTCTACTGAAGCAGTTTCACTGCTGTTTCACCAGGCTGAAGTGATGATTCAGTTCCTAAAGATGTGAGACTTTTTCTTATCTTTGAACTGTTCTTGAAAATTGCCTGGTAGCTCCTTATAAACAAGACACAGGCATAATTGCCTCTTAGAATTATTCTGAAGAAGTCCATCAGGATATTAATTTTATCTAGATTTGATAACCTACTTGAATTAAATTTAAAATTCACAAACTTTGTATTGCATACTTCACAGAAACAAAAATTCCTGAGAGTGAAATTATCTCTTCATATTTTATTATAGCTTTTCTTCCTTATGGCCTTACTACTTTTTTAATTAAAAAAATGAACAAAATGTGATTTTGGCTTTTAATCCCATTTATTCCTGACATGAACTTCTTATTTGTTTTGTTCTACTTGTCTATTTCAAGTTTTCAGATTTAGATATTTGCTTTAAAATAAACGATACTTTTTTTTTTTATTCTAGGACTGCTTCTAGTCACACTACAGAAAGACAGATGTCCCATGATCTGGTTGCTGTTGGTAGAAAAAATGAAAATTTTCATCCAGTGTTTGAACACATGGAATCTGTAACACAGAACATTGAGAATGATCCATCAAAAGAATTTACTCAGGAAATAATCACAATTATTCATCAAGTTAAAGGTGGCTGTAATATTTGGAGTATATGTATGTGTTTATGTATATATTACATGTATATATATATATACATTTTATATTACAAACATAGATTACAAAACCCAAAGATGATGGTTTAGCTCTGATGTCCCTGTAAGTCTCAGGTGTTTGCCATTGGCTGCATTTGTATTTTGGCTTCATTTTGTATTGTTGAATGAAAATGTAGGTTGAGGATTTAAAGTAGTTGGGTGGAGGATGACTGCAGGAAGGTCTCAGGCCATAACTGAGGCATTAATGTGGAGATTAAAGATCAAAACGATTTTATGCTAGTATGGGAGAGTAACCTCCTTGTTTAGGAAACATGGCAGGAATAAAGGAGCTTTGCTGTAATCACAACTCTAGTATAGTTCCTTTAAATGTTCAGATTAATGTTTAGACAGCTGCATTATGTTCAGTGTTGAGCTTTGTAGATTCAAGTAATTTGAGTACTACCATGGTAGAGCTGATAATTGAGTTTAATCTTATCAAATAAGGTTTTCTAAGTTGGGCTGGCCTAATCTTTCATTTGTGAATATCAAACTGCAAGTGGAAATAGTTTGAAATTTCAGTAGAGTTGTCGTGGTATCCTTAAGAGTTCATCTTTTAAAAGATAGATTTTCCCACTGTGCATTTCAAATACTACAAATAACGTTCTTGTATTTAATGTCTCTTCACAGCAAATTATTTTTCATCTCCTGACATAACTCTACACGAGCGGTTCTCAAAAATTCAGGATAAATCAAGTGCAAATACAAATGAAGTTAAAATGCATTTGGATCCAGAAATTCACAGGTAATTGTTGAACTAATTGTCTTAATTTATTTGCATTAAGGTAATTAATCTTCAGTAGACTTTACACAGTGTGAAGTTTTTATTCATTATTTTTACCTGCCTGTATCTTTAAAACGTTCTGTGGCCTGGTCAAGAATGCTTTTGCTTTTATAGAGATGGTATTTGTTTTGATGCAGTATTTTTGTGTTCTAGGAGGATTGACATGTCTCTAGCAGAACTTCAGAACAAACGAACTGTGCCATCTGAATCTCCCCAGGTACCTTGATTGCTTAAATTTTGTCAAGTAGTAAATTACTGTTATAGACATATTATAGATGTAAGCAATGTTTGCCCTTTACTACTGGGACATAATTTTTACATACCGCAGTAATTCTGAGTATTTGGAAAAAAATGCACACCTGAGCATATTTACAGATACCACAGTGATGCAAGTGTACTGTGTTCACTGAGCAGTAAAATGCAGATGTGTTCCCCAGAATAGCTGGAGTGTGATTATTCATGCTGCTTGAACCCCCTGTGTGTTTTAAAATAATGTAAATACTGAGTCCCTGACTGATGTGTGGTTCTTCGTTTTCCTCTGAGATTACAAAAAATCGTAATGTTTCTTCTACCCTAATGTTACAATGACTCAAAATCCACATAATTCCTCAGAGCACTATTTTATCCCATGCTTTCATCTGAGGTCATATGATTTTCTTTCTTCCCCTTTGAAGCTCTGGTTGCTATGATTTAGTTACTATTCCTTTTCTGTAGTACAGGTACGTGGAGATTCTCCTTGATTAAGGATAGTGGAACTTCTTAAGATTTACTGAACCTTACATGAATATTTCTGCCTTGGCAACTCCATGCAGAATTCCAGTGCTCTGTTCACTTCTGTTTGGAAACTTGTAAAAAGGCAGATGGTGCAAGGAAGGATAATTGCTTAGGACCACTTTTTATTGCTTTAGACTTTGGATCCTTGGGTTGATGTGAACCTGTCCTGTGTGCAGACAGCTGAACTGTGTTAACAGGTTATGTACAGGGTGCTGCCCCTGAAGGACAGAATCAGGTTGGTGTTCAGTTCTTGGCAGCTAACTTGGCTTCAACCCTTCCTTTTAACTAGAACATTGTAAGAGTGTTAGAAGATCCAAATGATCTACGGTATGATATAGAAAGGAGAAGAAAAGAGAGATTGAAGAATGAAGATGAGAGAGTGTTTCATGTAGATGATGTAACTCCAAGGTAATGAGCAAATAATCTTGTTGGCCCAAGCCTATAGTTCGCTTGTGTGTTCATTTTTGGGCCCTTCCACAGCTACACTTATATTTGTGGTGATTCTTTTCTGCAGTTAACCCTTAAAAGTTGACTGGGCCTGAAATTCAACTGACCTACATTGCAAGCTGCTCTGTAATGAGGTGTTACCTTGATAGAGATTAAACTGCAGTGGGTAAAAATGAAAAGCAAGCACAAACTAGCACTGAATGAGAAGAGAGGACAAAGATAGTTTGAAAAAATTTAAGTATTTTTTAAACTCCTCAGTGTGCCATGTAACAACATTCTCCTACATTTTGCAGTAAAAGCATTCTAGGATGAATATATTGTTTTATTGCCCTACTGGTATGGTAATAAAATGTGGAATATCAGCAAATAACTGGAGTTTTTCTGATTCTTGGAGACTTGGAAAGCTTAGATTTTTGGAATAGTGTTTTACTCCTATGGATTCCTCCAACAGGTTTGTTAAAAGTTTTTGCCCCAAAGGTGTTTGCTAACCTCAGTCACCCTGTTTCACTTTTGATGTTGTGAGGTCGGTTGATTGGAGAGAGTGACTGTTAGAAGAAATGTAGATTAATGAATTTCCAGAATGTAATAAAATGTATCCACACAGTAGTCATAGTTTCTTATGCAGATTGTTCTTCATGTGCTGCTCTTTGTTAATTTCAAATGCAGTCTGGCATTAATGGCAACTAATAGCAATACACACATTTGGGAAAACAGACTTGTGAAGCTGTAGAAGAAATTTCTTATATTTGAGATTCTTGAAACAAAAAAGGGTTAACGAGTGGGAGAAACAGTCCCTGGACTTGCTTCTATCTTTTGTGAGAAGTGTAAATTTCCCTACCAAGTATGGCTCTCCTGGAATTTGTTGTTAGGGGTTCCACTGTCAGGGAAATGTGGATTGAGGGCAGTAATGGCATGAATGATACACAGAATTTTCCTGAGGTTGAGAGGCTTTAATAGCTCACATGAGATACTGACAGTGCCTCTGAGCTTATTACATGCACTGCGGTTTTTTTCCTTAACTTATTTTGCAGCTATGAAAACTGTTTCTATGTGTTTTTTAAAATACAAATTCTGACTTCTCGTGGTTACTTTTCATGGTAAATGTTTTATTTAGAAGTTTGTGGATACATGTGTATTAGCAATATTCTTGGTAACAAAACAACCAAAACCATAAAAACAAGCAAGCAAAAGCCCAAAGCCAGAATCAGCTGCTTGCTGAGGATGAAACTGGAGGATGTAGCTGTCAATCTAGAGCTCGTGTGGGATCGGGAATGTCAGGGAAGGGCCGGTTCAGCTCCGCTGGCAGCGATAGTTGGCAGCGCTCGGCTGCAGGAAGCGTTTCCACCAGCGGAGGGCAGCAGTGCCCGGCGGCGGGCAGGGCTGGGCGGGCGAGCCTGGCTCCGCAGCCGGGAGTCCAGGGAGCAGAGTCCCTGCTCCTTTGTCACTGCACAGGGGAGTACGGATTGCTGTGGAATTCTGTGCAGTTTGCGCTTGGACTGGGAACTTGTTGATTTTCCTAGGAATATTTACTTATAAGCTGTCTCTTTGCACTTGTGATACAGATGCTAGAATAAGCTAGTTTAAAATACAGGGTTGATATGCTGTGGCTTTAGATATTAATTGTTCTCACTCTCTCTCTTACACATCAGGAACCAGCAAAGCTGCAGTCTTTCAAAGTTACAAACATCTCAAGTTGATGGTTTCCAAAAGCCTATGAGGTTCATTAAGCCACCTTTCAGGAAATTTATTGGGAGACCTCAGCTGGTAAGCCTAAAAGTAGAAATAGTAGCTCCTGCACTGTTAATGTATAATTCATATTTTGCTGCATTGTCTGTGCTGATGTAAATTTAACAGTCTTTGATATCTTGCCCTTTTAAATTTTGAGTAAGGCTTTTTTATCTTCTGTCTGTGCTCAACAGTGAAACTACTCATAATTTCTAGTTCTAGTGCAAGAGGACTGCCTTGGGTATTTTTTGAAGCAGAGATTAGTACATCTGAGCTGAAATCACCTTGATACCACTCCTTTTCTTTTCATAAAAGAAGTTTGTGTCTAATATCATATTTCTTCTACATAATGGTGTAATTACCTAAATGATAAAATGGAAGGCCTTGTTATTGGGCAGATAATCTGAGCTAAGTAGTTTGAGGAAAAGAATACTCTCCTGCATTCCAGTTGTCAGTGGTATGAAGGGAAGGCCTGAATCTTGTGTAGGTGGTATTGTTATTGAAACAGTGTTTCTTTTATCTTCATTATGATAAAAGTTCTGGAAAGCACTTATTTTAAATAAAAATGAGGAGCAAATCACAGAAAAAAACCAAGAAATATCTGAAAAATGTTCCTGAAAATGGAAGTTAAACACTGGAATATAACATCTCTCGAATACTGCATTTATGAACCCTGGTTTTGGACAATTATTCTTTAGGCTCTCTTTCTGCAGTGTACTTCAATACTGAAGTGGGCAAGACAGTAATATTAGGTCCAATAGAAATAAATTTCTCTTGTGGGAAGCTCCTTCTGAAGAATTGTAATCAATTCCAGGTGTTTCTGCTTGTTTAACCTGGGGAACTCGTGAGACCAGAAAAGCTTTTTTAATGTGTGCAGTATAATTCTAAATCACTTCTTTTTTTCTGACAGCTGCAAAATAAGGAGAAGACAAACATAAGTTACCATTCTTTATACACTGTAACTAGTGACCTATGGAAAGGGCCCCAGGAGCCCATGAAACTTTTCTGAGGTCCATCAAAAGTAGCTTTCATGTAGTCAACTCTCAAATGTCTGCTTTGCAGATGCAAAAGTGCCTCCTTCTGTGTAAAGGAACACAAGTTTTGAACGTTTTTGACCATATGACCTCATCTGCTCAGCTCAGAGAAAGGAAACAATAATAATAAAAGCACAGAGAAAGGAAGGGGAGTGTGGGAGGTAGTTGGTTGTTGTGACGTTTGTCTTCTGGAGCAACCACTGTGTACTGAAACCTGGCTTCCTGGGAAGTGGCTGGACATTGCCTGCTGGCAGGAAGTACAGAAGAAATCTTACATTTTCCTTTGCTTCTGTGTGTCTTTGCTTTTGCTGTATTAAACTGTCTTTTTTTCTTGACCCATGTGTTTTTTTTACATTTTATTTTCTCACTCCTAACCCTGCTGAGGAAGGGAATGGTGGAGCTGATTGGTGGGTACCTGGTTTCCAGCCAGCATAACCCACCACAGTAATACTGTAATTGCTAATAAAAAGGAGGTTGGTTTGAAAAAGATACTGAGTTATTGTTAAATGTGGTGAAGATTCAGGAAGATTGAATTTTCATATTTAATAATGAACTTCAAATATGCAACTTTTAGGAAGTCCTGCACTGCAGTAAGAAGTAATTCCTTTGGAACAACAGTAGCTGTGTGTAGGAGCTGTGGGTCAGGACAGTCGGGACTGATGGAGAGATCTCTAAGGCCAGGGGTTGGAACTTGTGGTTTATTGCAAAGGGTGTGGGTGAAAGGGCCCTGCTTGGAGCTTCCAGACACAGCTTGGAGCAGGCCTGTGAGAGCAGGAGGGCAAGACCAAAAAGAGGGCAAGGGGTAAGAGGTAAGAGAGTAAAAGTAAGAGCATCAGAGAGTAAGACTGTGAGGTTCCCATTACAATACATTAAATCTTCTTCTGTGTTGAATATTCTAATTTTCACTAACCAATCTAATACAAGATACAAATCCTATAGCATTTACATACAGCCTATAAAGAATCATTACATTGCCATACTGTGTTACACTTTAAACCCCAAAAACTCCTCTTTGGACCCCCTTTACCAAGCTAGTAGGGTCTTCTCTGACCCATGGACCTGTCTGCAAGCAGAGGGAATTGTTCAATAAGAAGGGGATTACTTTCAGGTGGCCATACTATTGTTTTCTAGTTGTTCAGTAACTAAGGTTTGGTATCTCAAAGATGGCTTTCATTTCAATCTCGCTTATAGTTTCCATATTCTCAAAGTCTTTTGCCAGGCAATCATATTTATAAGGTTTTCCATTTTCATCTTCCCCAACAGCTGTGAAAGTATAGGTATTAAAAATGTAAGGCATCCTAAAGAAGAAATGTCTCTTCCTGGTCAGCCTTACAGAAGCTGGTTTGTACACAAATAGAAAAATCAAAAGCCTTAGTTAAGTAATCAAAATATAATATTTGTCATGTTAATATTCAATAATTGGGAGTTGAGCTTAAACTTGAAAGAAGCTTAGATACACAATTGTACCTTCCAGGCCTAAGATTGATTGTAAGAATTGTCCATTTAGCCTTGTACCCTACTGACAAAAGGAGGCTAGCTAGAGTGAAGTAGAAAATCAGAACAAGTATCCATGTGTATTCCCCCTCTTCCTTTTTTCTGTCCTTCAATTTTTTTAATGCCACTGGTTTGAGAAGTTCCTAAAAAGTGGTTTGCTGTGCCTTTGCATCAAGTAGTTCTAATGTTAATATTTCTGTGAATGTACTTTAGCCTGAAGGCAGGTAGGGATAGGGAGGGCTGTATCCAGAGTTAATTAAGGCAAGCTTTGTTTTAATTCCTAGAGGTTTATTTTGAACTACAATGGGAAATTTTTCTAAACTTTTTTCATCTTGCTAGATTCCCATCTTAAAGGAAGAGTGTACTTCAGCTGGGAGCTTCCTGATTTAATTGTGTTGTAGGTAGAAAGTTAATTTGATTTTGTGGAGTGTTTTTATTTTCTTAGAATAAGAAGGAAGCTGGGAAGTTCCTGTCTTTTTTTTGGAAAAGCCATTTTGATCTCACTTAATAAAGTCTTTCTTCCTTTCTTTTTGTTCTCTTGTCAAGGCATTGCAAGAAGCTGAATAGTTGACCTGTAGGCAGTAACATAGTCTAAAAAAGGAAAAAGGCTAGTTTAAATCATAGTTAAAAGTTATCTTGGATTCTAACAGCATTCCACTGTATTTATAGCCCCCTTTCTCCCCACACCATTATTAACAGCTTTGCCAGAAAGGTTTGGTAGTTTGTTAGAGGACAGAAATTCTGGGAACAGCCAAGTATACATTTTCATTTATTATTAAATGTTAGTATATGTGAAATGTTTCAGGAGAGTTCTCTTCTTAGGTTCTTTTTAAAATGTATTCCAAGCTGATGAAATTTCCTTTATGAAAACAGAGTTCAATAGCGTTGGAATGCTTCTATGATTATTCAAGAGTGGACCATAAACAAATTTATTTGCTTGCTAGGAGTTCATTGGCACATTTGTTCTGTGTTGCATAGAGGACTTTAATGTAATATATGCAAATCTATGCCAATGCTTCTGTAAATATTGGTAATCATATGCAATGATGGACAAGAACGGCATCCTCTGGCTGTCATAGGGGAAGTTGGAAAAGAACCAAAATGTTCAGGTAGGTCAGTGGCTGGAGGAGTGCTGTGTTTTAGCCAACCACAGCTGTTTGATTGCAGCTGTTCAGTGTGTTGACACAACCATTTCAATACTATTTGTCTGTGTGATTTGCTTTTGAAATTATGTTTTTGTGGCAGGCAAGCAATTCTCAAATGCTTTCTTGAAATAAGGAGTTAAAAGTAGCATTTTCTAAGGACCTCAATGTGCTACAGGTTGTTTGTTTGCTGTGGAGGTGTCTGTGCTGCACTAACCCGTGATGGCCACGTGCCAGCCAGGAGATCCGGGCTACCAATCTAATTGCCCTTGTTCCTGAGGCAAGCCATGAGTGCTGTAGCAGCCTGTCTGCTGGACTTGATACATGCGAGTGGAGGCATCTGTTCTGGGAGGGAGGGAGGGAGAACCTTAATTGGGCTGTCAGTTTCTTAGGTCTCTCCAAGAGGATGACGTTCCAGGAACATGGTCTGTATTATCTTTAGCTGTCCCTTCAGCCAGCCTGGACTGCAGGCCCAATGCTCCTGTTACTCCTGTCCCTTCAAGTGTCATTGTGTCAAACACTACAAGACTGCAATATTTGTTAGTTTAACCTGAACATTTTTTTTCCTTGAATAATTTAATAACTTGAAGCTATAACTGTTTTCCTACTAGAATTCTTACTATTCTTCAAGACCAAGTGACACTTACCCCCACAGACGCATTAGAGGACACCTTGAAAATGCAGGACCCATCAGAAGGCACTTTAAGGTACAGATCAGCTTTTATCAGATGTTTGTTATGTAAAATCGTGGTTGAACCTGTTGAGTTGGGTAACAGAAGACACGCTTTTGAAGGTATTAAGTGCCATGAAAAATAGTGTCATCAAAACCTAATTGTTTTTGTTAGAATAATGGGAGGCTTAGCTTTTAGTAGGTAAGAGGGCTGGCAGTGGATTGAGCAGGGTTGTCCAGTGTTGTATGCAGGCAGTTGAAATAAACAGGTTACTGCAGAGTCAGGAATAAGAATTGCAGGAATTGCACAATGACTAGAAAACTCATCTGTCCAAAACCCAAGCTGCTGAGCATTTTTCCTTCACGTGACAGAAGCCTGAACTTTTTCCAAAGACTGAAAGAAATGAGTTGTGTTACTTTCAAAACTGTATTACTGTTATTTTATTAACCCATTCATGTAGAGATTAGTAGAGGGAAGTAATGTCTTGTGAATACCCTGCGTACTGTCAGCTATGAATTAAAAAAAACTGAAAGGAGTGAGGATTTATTCTTAGGGCCTCAACAGGATAAAGAGATGGGCAACTGTGCTTCTTTCTAAGGTAGAGCAGTGGCCACCTAATGCCTTTTAATTTTAAAATTGTATCCTGGATTCAGCAAAAAATCAAAATATTTCCTTTTCTGCTGACAGTGGCATGTTATGCATGGGGCCAGTTAGTGTTGATGTGAGAAAAGTATTATCAAATCTAAAACAACTTAAACTAATTTTCTACTTTGAAATTGCCCGTAAATTTTTAACATGCATTCTTAAAAGTAAAGTAACACACAGAATAGATAGTCACCTTTTCTGTTTTTTAGATAGTGAAGTAAATTTTAATGGCTAATTAGCTGTCATTTTTGGATGAAACTTTGAAAGGTGGGGAAGTGTAAATGTGGGTTATGGGGTTTTTTCCCCTTCTTCCCCCCTCTCTCCCCCTTCCAAACATAAGAACTGTTGGATAAAAAGACTTTCTTCAATTTAGGCGTGCTTTGCCAGCCAACCTTGTCAGATAGCTAAGCTAACACCAATAAAAACTGCTGTCTTTATTCTGCTGGAGAAAGTCTTTTTCTAAGTTAAAAAGTTCAAAGTGTTCAAAGCCTGATACAACTATTTCAACACCTAAGAAGATTTAGCCTGTTATTCCATATCCTCTCTGTATTGTCAGCCTCCAGGTGATGGAGAAATCTGGCACTGGCTGCTGCATCCCTGAGGCAGTGTTGGTAATTGATGCTCCTTTCATTTACATCATTCTGCAGTTCTGTTGATTCTACAAGCAGCAAAGTGTCCATTGAAGTTGTCACCTCATGTATATATGAATATTGCAGTACCAGTGATCTGGCCCATGGTGCTTTAATATTTATAGGGAAAATGGCATATGCAATTGTATTGCAGTTTGCTTGTGTGTATAGCACTTCTATCATTGCTATGGAAACAGTGGTATTGATTTGACTTAATTTCTTTAATTTTTTACATTTAAATTCCTCTTGCACAACAGAGTTTTTTTTCTTGCTGTGCTGTTGGTGAAATGGAGGTGACTTGACTATCTTCTACATTCAGGACTTTCTTGGCTATTTATTTAAAAGAATAACAACATATAAAGACACAAAAACCTCACAAAAAAACCCATATAGAATTCCATTTTCTGCCTTCCCCTCTCTCTAACTCCCAAAAAAAATCAAGCCCCACACAATTTTTTTCTTGATATATAAAATGGGGGTATTTAAACTTAATAAGCAGAAAGTGATGACTACTGAGAGTATTTTTGAAAAAAACATATGGTCTGCACTATGTTAAACTTTTTGGGAAAAGAAAAAACTGAAGTTCTAAAATATCTTATAAAGGATCTGGAGAAGTCTTACAAAATTTAAAAGGTCTTTTTTGTAATGATCCTTTACCTTGAATCACTAAGTCAACCTTTAAGTAAGTAAATGCAAAGTAATCTTTAAAATGAAACTGCATTCACTGCTTAAAAAAAGTCCAGTGTATTATTGGCTGTGATAGTTCTCCCCTGCCAGCAGCTTAGCACCACACGGCTGCTGCTCACCCTCCCCTCCCAGCAGGATGGGATGGAAAATATGGAGAGCAAAAGTGAGAGAACTCATGAGTTGAGATGAAGACACTTTTAAGTAGTGAAGAAAAAAGTGATGCAGTTACTCATCACCTGTCACAAGGTTACTGATGCTCAGTTGCTCCCCAAGCCATGGCTGCTTGCTCCAAAAGCCCTTCCTTCAGTTTCTGTTGCTTAGGAGGAGATATGTGTGTAACATCCCTGTGCTCACCTTGGGCCACCTGTCCTGGCTGTGTCCCCATCCAGCTTCTTGCCCACCCTGGTGTCTTTGCTGAGCAGCAGAGTAAGGGAAGAGGAGAAAGTGTTGGTGCTGTGCAGGTACTGCTGGGCAATAGCCAAAGCACTGGTGTGTTACCAGTGCAGTTTTAGTCACAAATCCAAAACACGGCACCATGCACGCTGCTGTGAAGAGAATTAACTCCATCCCTGCCACACTCAGTGCAGCCATATATATTTGCTCATATACCCTTATTTTAGAGCTTCAGGCTCCTCGGGATTGCTATTAGCATCAATTATAAGACAGTCCTAGTGTAAAACTGGATGCCACTTTAGCAGACTCCTTTCTTATTTCTAGACCAGAAGTTAGTGGTGTTTTCCATGTGTTTTAGATTCTTGTTTTGCTATAAGCTGTGTGTGACTGAGGTGCTTATATACCAAATGTGTATATATAAGCTGTTAGCTTTGTCTACAACTGATGCTATTCTACATTAATATTACTGCTGTGTCCTTCCCTCCCCACTTACAGAACATGTAGGTGCTTGAGCTGAAACTTCTAAATTCTAAGGCAATTTTCAATATCTTGCACCTTTTTTCCATCCCTTACTCGTTCTGGTCCCTTCTTTATTGTCATACAATTGCAGTGGCAGACCACCAAGTGTTCTTTCCAGTCACTGAAGTCAAAGGGAATCATAGCACGAGTGGGGAAATGGGAACTTTTAATGCTGTGTTCAGGACATTGATCCAGCATTAAAAGTGCCCTTCAGTTTTCCCTGTGATAGGCATATACCCATGTAATACATCCCCGTGCAAGGAAGTTCTTTGTGCCTGCACTCTGATCCTCTTCAGGAAAGTGATTGGCATTGAATAGGCTCTTGCAAGTGTCCTCCATCAGAGTAATCCTGGGGGAATGATGAGGCAGCTTCTCAGTTGACTCCTGCAAAGTAGGTGGGTTTAATGATTTGGGAAATAACAGAACCTCTGCATTTGCATAAAGAAACCTCTGTTCTCTACAGTTCTTTCTTTACTGTTCACCAGCCACACAGTGGAAAACACAGTGGAAAAATTGGTACTAAAGTTACTGCAACCTCAGAGCATGTGATTTTTCTTGAAGTGATGCTTACTATGACAAATTTCACCAAAGGAATATTGTCATGCTCAGGAAGGGCTATTTCTGTGACATATTTGGGTTTTTCCTACCCTTCAAAGGTGTTTGTGAAAGATAAGAAGAATTTATATGGTCAGAAGGTTTTCTCTGGTTTTAGATGAAAACCCATTGTTTAAATTTGGAGTGACTGTTGAAAAAATTGAAATGGCAGTGCTGCAAAACTATGGAAAATTATGACAAATAGATTCTTTATTACTCTAAAGATTTTTACTGCCTATTTTGAGATCCGAGTGCCTAGGAATGAAAATATTTTTCAAACTTTTAGCTACTATGATCAGTGTTGATCTTTCTATGTCTCTTCTGTGTGTTTATAATACTTTTCACCTTTAAGTCTTCTGATACTTCTGTGGCCTCTGTTCTTAGTCTCACACTAGGTTACTTTGCAGTATTCCAGTGTGGAGGTATCAAAGGCATAACAAATGCCTGTGTGTTCAGACTGTCAGACATTAAAGCTCTAAGAAAAACATGTGCACTGACTTGTGTTTGTGTGACTAGACTCAATGTGTCCCCACTGCAGGCTTGGCAGCATTGAATTTGGTAGTGACAGTGGGGTGTTGTCTGAAAGTTTTTTTTTGTTGATGCAGTGTGCCTCATTAATGGTTGAAAAAACGTTAAAATGTTGTATAATACATTTATTTCTTTCTATAAGGAAGATAATGTCAGATGTTTTAAACAGCAAATGCAGTACACCAGTTCTTTGAGCCACGTGGTCTGAGGAATGATACATGGATGTAAAGGAAGAGGGTGTGCACTTGTGAATGCTTGCTTCTGTCATAGAGTACTGGAAATTTTACATGTGTATAGATGTAAATACCAACTTTTGAGTTTTGGTGCCCTCATTTTGCACATTTGTTTTCTTCTTTCCCCCACCCTAACAGAGCAACTTTGCAGATGGCCGTTTGCAATCCCATTATAAATCAGGCTTAGTGCAGAAGGGTTTATATATTCAGGCTAAGTACCAGCGGTTACGTTCTGTTGGTGTAAGGGGATTTGCCACTAATAAATTCAGAGATGGATTTCTGAGGAAAGAAAAGGTAAGTTGTATTAATTTATTTTTAACTAAGCCATTTGTAAAATATGCATATTCATAAGATCCATCGAGATATTAAAATCTCAGTGGAATGACTTGGATGAGATTTTCTGGGATATTGGCTCTTTGTACTTCACTGGCAAACTTGACTGTGCCCTCCTGTTTCCTCCCTGTTTATTCTATGGAAACTTGCTGAAACTTGCTTTGGGTAAATCAGAGGTACCCTCTCAGATTGTGTGGTTGCTTCTGTTTCAGTATCTTTTCCTCAAGCTCAGCTGATCACTCTTCCTACTGACAGGACCAGAAATTGTCCCTTTGTGGAACAAAATATTCTGTCCTGTTAAATCTAAGAGAAGGATATTAATTTTTTAATACATCTGTATGCTTCTCCTTTTTGTTATGTTACTATAATTATGTGCTTTAAAGTATGCACTGGGGTGCTGCTCTGAACAAAACTTCCTGCACAATGTAATGTCTTGTGTAAAATGGTTTGATAAGCTTAAACTGAAATAAGCACATCTGGTTTATGGTGTTTTGATTTGCAGTCTATGGGTCAACAATAATCTTGAACTGCTTCAGAACTTTTGAACCATATAGAATATTGCAGCTTTTGTGAGGATCAGTAGTTAAAATTAAGTAAATCCTTTATTAAAATTGATCAAAGTAGTATGAAGTTACTTGTGACATCAGGGAATTGGATTAGATGACCTACACAGTTTACACAGGCCCTTTGCAGTTCTGTGCTCTGTGTGAATTTTTGTTTTGTAACTGTGTCCATCCAGCTACAAGTAAATACACTTGAATAAATAAGCATTTGTAGTGGGATTAGAGTTTAGCTCTTAGAGCACAGAAGCACCTTAAAGCACAGGTTCTTACAGCTGTTTGCAAAACTTCTCAAGTTTACAGCCCAGTGGGCAGAAGAAAAAGCCCCCAAAACCCCTTAAGGAAACACACATGTAAAAACCAAACCAAAAAACCAACAAACAAACAAAAAAAACCCAACCATCAGAAAGAAAACCAAGCACTTGAAACAAGGTAAAGAGATCACTTTTTACTGAAGTATTTGGGCAAACATCTCTTCTATTTGCATGGACTCTGAGGAGTATTATCTCTGAAGGCTAAATTGAATTGGAATTAGTGGAAAATAGAAGGAGAAAGATATCCCTCCCCCCTCCAAAAAAAAGATGACCTTGTAAAATGGGAATAGAAGTGTTACAGTTTTGTTGTAGTGTGCTATTCCCAATAATTTCCAGTGTTCTTCTGTAATTAGCTGTTAAGGTTCTTGTCTGGAACCTGTAAAGCATACTTAAAACCTTCTGGCTACTAGATACTATGATTTGAATCAGAGAATCATCAGTGAGTTCTTTTTTTCTTTTTTTTAGGCCTGATGAATTTGATTGTGTCTGAGTTAAAGTAAAATAAATCCTGAAGAATGACAACTGTTTTCTTAACAGCATACTGTTTGCTGGTTGGCTAATTCCTAAAAACCAAAACTGTTCCTGAAATTGTAGCATTTTGCCTATTGTAATGATAAAACTTGTCAAGATCTGTTAAACAGGTCTGAACATCTTCACTTTATTTCATTTGAAATAATAATGCTGCATATGCATCTTCTAAGACACAGTTTTTATAATTATGCTGTTTGAATCCATAATTGAAAGAATCTTGCATTTTACATATAGTACTTAGGAAGTTCAGGAGGGTTTTTCTGCTATTACAACTGACAGTAATGTTTTTTTTTTTTCCTCCTCTGTGTAGGGAAATCTAAATATTGCAACAGAAACCTGAACTGAACTGACATCCTGAAGTTGAAAGATAACACTGCAAAGGGAGCATCTGTTTGGTTTTTGACAACTTTCTCAAGACTTAAAATAGGATAAAGGAACTAATGCTGTAACTTTCTTGATTACAAAATAACTTTATTTTGAATGCTGCAGAACTTTTTTACAGTTTTAATAATTGCTTTTAAAGTACAGTATTCAAATGAAACATCGTATTATGTACCTTTAGTTCTGTTTGCATACCCGTCTCAAGTAAGGAAGTCATTGAAGGGAATCTTATTTGTTGAATAATTTTTCTCTAAGCATGATGTTACAGATGGAACTTGAGTTGTTATACCCAGAGGTTTATATGTTGAAAGTTTATTGCTAATGTAATAATAAAAAGAAAAAAAAAAGTGCCTGAACTGTTTGGTAATAGCACATTAGCTCAGGATTTTCCAATTAATGACCTTTTAGGTTGTGCAATAGATTTTACACCTCTGTTCAGTCATTTCCATAAAACAGTATTTTGTATTACTTTGGATTAATAATATACTTGGGTTTCTGATGTGTATATATATTTGTAAATTGTTAGAATGTTGGGACAACTTTCAGCATTTGATTAAAATTAATGGTTACAGGCAGGTATGTAAAGTACTGTAGCAGTAGCTTATAACTGCACTGAAAGCATGCTTGGGTTTGTTAGAAGATTAGTTGATCTGTATACAAAATTATTCTGTCTCATTATATTTTGGTGTATGAGATTCTTGACCACAAGAATCAAGCCACATGTTCTCTAAGCTTTTTCATCATAAACGATTTGGTAGTTTTGTGAATTCTAGAATTGGGGCCTGAAATATTAAATTACAAGAAAAACAAAAAAGTAAGTTTTTGAAAGCATGTCTTCTAACAACGAAATTGTTCATAATTGAAACTGCTTTAAATGCAGATAGCTGGTGATTTTGTTCAGAATGATTCTCTGAAGTTTACTGTACTGCAGTATTGTTAGGCTCTGTGCAAAACTCAAATAGCCAGACCTGTTTCATAAGCAGCTATAAACAGTATTGTGTTTATTTCCTGTTTATAGCCTTTGCCTTAATTCATTATTTCTAGTAGGGTTGTGTGTATGTATTGCAGATTGGTTCAGACTTGTTATTGATGGTAAATTAAAGATACATAGCACGTAGTCTTAAGGGATGTTCTTTTTCAAGAAAAAAGTTGTTCACATTATCCTCAATACATGCAGATGTATTTCTGTATAGAATGCAGGCTAGTCTCTGTTGTGGCTGGTAGACCAGAATTTCAATTCTAGGTTAGAGGTATGTTCACAGAAAAGAAAATTTGGTTTTTTGGGTGGAAAGCTAGGATGTGATTTCTGCACGCTTTTTTGTAATGTTTTTTCCCAAAATGCCTTCAGTAGAGAGACTCTTGGAAAATGTAGTTTTGGTTCAGAACAGCTAAAATTACTGTGACTTGAGCTCTTCAGTTCATGGGTGTTCTGCTTAGTGTTCATAGGGAATAAGGCAGGAAGTGTGCAACATTCATTGATGTCATGGTCATTCAATGATAACAGATGGTTTGTTTCTAAAATACAGATTTTCAGTTTAAATAACAATCATTAATAATTTAACTAGTTTTTCAGTAACTTTGGCATGCATAGACAGAATGGGAAGTGGAGGGGAAGGAACTCCCTGGACAAATTGAGGCAGGCAACCTTGTGCAGATAAGGAAGTGGTTTTTTACTTAATGCTGTCAGTGATGAATCTGGCAGAGTCATCCTGTGTAGATTCACTGGGAGATAAAAATAAGGAACTGAAACAACAGGTTAAATGAGTCAACCCAAAACAAATGTGGAGTAGCTGCAGTTCTGATCAGGCTGCTGGTGGGGGAGTGCTGCACATGCCCTGCCCAGGGGGGCAGGTTTACCCTGAAGCCAACAAGTCCTTCACACTGCTCTGAATGTGCACTGTAAAAGATGTGAGAAATGAAACCATATATGATACAGGACAAACTACTGAGGCTATATTGTCTTATTCAACAGGATACTACTGTGTCTGTAAGCTTACTGCAGTGTTTTTGTTAAATTCTGGAAGAGAACTCTTTGTTGAGCAAATGGGAAAAGTGGATACATGAAGAAACTTCTGACATGGTAGTTTTGCTAACACTGCTTGGAAGTAATGCTGGAGTAGTCAGACTTCAGTCAGTTAATGCTGCTTTAACCTGGTTTCAACATATGACTGACTCCTGATTTAGTGCTTTATTTTATCTGTTCATGATTAGATATCTCTTATTTGTTTTGTATTTTACAGTTGATCTTTGTGTTTATTTCTACAACTATGAGCAACATATAGCAAAGAAGTTTGTGGTTTTTTGGCTTGTTTGCTGTCTTTGGTCCCTCCCACCTCTTGGTCCTAAGGTGAATGTCATATGAAATGTAGTCATTGTTTCAGTTGGTTTATCTTTTGTATGATCCCACTTGCTCAAATCCAGTTCTTTACCAATAATTTTACTTAAATAATTTTGGATTCTGTCATGATAAAACCTCTCACATTTTAAAAAATGTATACAGAAATAATGAATTTTATAAAAATTCATGGCTTAGGTGCTAGAAGCATCTACTCTATGATATGATGTGAGACATTGCTATGTATATTTATCTTTGTGAATTACAGAGACTTGTGTGTATATACTCATACCCAATTCAGCTTGTTTATTGTTTTAGCACAGAAAACTCTGTTGTACTGGAACACAATGTTTGGTTGAGGGCAATGTATTGAAGTTACTGTTTGGGTTGTGAAGGCACAAGAGAAAGGGTTAAGTAGAAGAAAGGTCAATTTACTTGAATAACCTGGTGCCTTTCGGTATTGTGACTTCGTTGTAGAAAACATGTACAAAGACTCAAGTACATTGCATTCTTTCTAGTGGGAGCATGGACTGATAACAGTTCTTGTTAAAATAACTGTTTATTTTAAATAGGTGTGTAAGCCTCTGTAGGAAAACAGTGACTCTTTCATTTGTAAAGTCTGTCACTGTTTGCATTGGAAGGGCAAGTTAAAAATGTGATTGTCTTAAGAGCTTTCTAGCTTTCTGTTTTATACTCTGGAAATACAAATGTGAAATGCCTTTCTTTTGTTTAGCTTGAAATGGCTGTTAAGTGCTGTCATTTTCAGTTGTTCACGTGTGAAATTTTATTTTTAATTGCTATCCAAAATGCAATGAGTTTAATATGACTAGAGTCTTCCTTTTAAGTGTCTGAAATACTGAGTTGCTATGATGTTAGCATTTACATTGCTGATTCATTTAATTTCTGCATAACTTGATTAGAATACTTCTTTTAAATTTGTGATGATTGAGTTCACAAGGTTAACAAAATTCTGGGGGTAGTAAGAAGCAACACATTGCAGGGTTTCTATAAACCTACCTTAACTCTAATAATTACATGTTTGAAATCTTTTTACCTGATGAATATAGATGGTCTTGAGAGCTGAACGTAACTGTCTCAACTCAGGTAACTGATAGCAGAGGATAGGAGTAAATCCAGCTGATCAATCACCTGCTGTGTAATGTTTACCTGCTCCCATCTTCCCTAGTGCCCCAGGCTGACATGCTCAGTTTTCATTAAATGAACTTAGTTGCTTTAAAAACAGAACCAAACCCCAAGATTACGCTTTTTGTGGCATTAAAGGTGGAGTTCTCAAAACTTGCTCGTTATGCATCAGAAGATCATTTTCTGCCATGTCTGCAAAATGGGTAATGAGAGTCACTTGAAGAAGATGATAAAAGATCATAACAAAGAGAGACTGATTTCTCAGTATTCACCTTAGAAGACTGTAAATAGAGGGATTTCTTTAATTTCCTTGCTTTCCTAAAGGAAAGCTTTGTTGAAACCCACCTCTTGCCTTTCTTTAAACATCTGAACAGCAGTCTACAAAGTCTTTTATGGAAGAGGCCTCTAAAAGATAGACTGACTTCAGACTTGAGTCCTAATGAATCTAAAAAAAAGATGTTTCTGCACATTACTCTGACCCTTGACAGACTTCATTCCATTGCTGCAGAATTTGAAGATAAGAAGTTCTTCAGCCTCCTTACGAAGGAAAGAAAGAATAAAAGCCATTTCAAGATCTTTGAAAGCCTCCATGTGACACTTGACTCCCTAACAGACCTTAAGGATAGCCATGAACATTTGAATGTGTTCTGTTTTGAGCTTTGTGAGCATTATTTTTCAGTGTCAAGATCAGAGAAAACTCTTGTAATAACACCTGACCCTTCCTTCCATGCCTGGTGGTTTTTGTTGGAGGGATTTTGAGTAGGTATTTAGCCACATGGTTAATAGCCTGCCACTTTTAATGCAGTTTTCTTCCGTTAACTGTTCATTGGTCTGAATTTTGTCTAAGTAGTCTAAATCTCATGTTGTCTTTTTAATATTTCATTTTCTGTAAATAATGTAGTAGATGGCTTTCATTTTGTGACTGGCTTCTCATGTCTTTAGTATTGAGGGAAGAGGCAGTGGAAACAGTTGTTCAAATAGGTTCAAGGAATAAAAAAAGCCCCATTGTTTTGCTTTAAGAATAGCAGTAATTTTTTACTCCCAGTTGAATGAGGGGTACTAATGTCCACTTCTAAGGAATAGATGGTTGATGTTATTTATACTGTAGTTTTTCAAGGACTGTCTAATGTGTGTATGTGTACATGTATGTGCACATGGAAACACAGTTAGAGAAGCCTTTAATGTAATTATTTGTAAGTGTGGATAAGAAATTACATTTTTAAACTACTGAAGCTGGAGTAAAATGCAAATGCATTTTAAGTCTGTAGTCTTTGAATCCTCAACGGTGCTTTTGACAATGTTACCCCATATCTAAAAGCCTCGTTCATAAGGATATATAGTAAGATGTAGGTATGTTTATATGTATGTTTAACATAGTTTATATAAAATAAATGTAAATTTTGTTTCTACAGACAATAAATGTTTTCACGAAATTTTTACTTATAAATAATTCAGTGATTTGATTCAGTAGTTATTAATGTTTGGTGTAATTTTCAGGGTACAAAAAAGAAAATACATATTTTCATATACAAATTAACTACCCGAGGTTAGAACAGGATGGTTTTGCTTACTCTTCCATTAACAGCCGAGGTGCTCGTGCTGTAAAATGTTACCTATACTTTAATACCAGGGCTTTTAAAAATTATTTTATAAATTTGCGCTTCTCTCTCCTCTGCTGCTATTATAGGTTTTTTTTCCCAAGGGTCTTTACCTGTGGGCAGACGTGCCTGTGCAGAAGCCTCCCCACCCTCCTTCCGTCCTTTCTGTCCAGACATGTTCCTGATCTGTGCACCCTGTTACTGTAGCAGGGGTTTCGCGTCTTCCTGCGGTACGAACAATTCGTGCTCCTGCTGCTCTTTTTAGTGAAGCATCAACACTAGCCCAAAGGCACTCTTCATCTTCCTTTTTTGTCTTTTCTTCCTTCCCTGCTCCTAACCCCAAGCCTGTAGCGGTGTGTACGGGGAAGGGGCATCTGCGGCGCTGCCGGTGCATTTCGCAGCCGCTCCGAAAGCAGAGCCCCGGGGGCAGGGCAGGGCAGGGCGGGCGCGGCTGCCGGGGGCCGTGCGCGGATGGGGCAGGTGCGCGGCAGGTAGGCGCGGTTCGGTGCCCGTCCCGCCGCCCGGGAGCGCTCTCCATCCAGCGCCCAACGAGGACGCGCCCCGTCCCCTCCCTGTGCCCGAGCCCTGCCCCGAGAGGGAGGGAGCCAGCCCGCTGCCCGCCGAGGCTCCGCTATCCGCCGCCCCTGCCCCCGCCGGGACCGAGCGCGGCTCCGCTTCCTGCCGCCCTCCCCGCCCTCCTCTCCCGCCGGCCCGAGGCGGCGCAGCGGCTCTGGCGCAGTCTCGCGACACTTCCCGCAGCGCGGAGCCGGAGCCGTCGCTCGCCCCGGCAAGCAGCAGCGGCAGCCGCGGCGGTCGCTGCCCGCGCTCGGGAGCCCGAGCCGCTCCCGCCGCGCTCACCGCCCGCCCCTCCCGCGGCTCGGCTGCACAGGCTCCTCCGGGCGCTTTTGCCCTGGGCTGCTTTTCCCGG